ATCTGTAGTCTTTGTGAAGCATGTGATCCGGTCAAACTGTTGGGTCCACTTTTCTCCATTCACTCCTCTGTGTCTGCATTCATCAATAATCAATAACTTAAAGATAACATTATCTCACTTCCTGCTGTAGTCTGTGACTTCTCCACACAGACTGTATCAAACAGCACTGCATTATATCCAAACACCTAATACAAAGAGCACGCTAAGTGCAAGCTCCCCTTTTTCTTTTATATGCAGGGGCGGCTCCACAGGGTAGCAAGGGTGGCCTGGGAACTACTAGTACTACTATGTCCTGATCTGCTAAAATGATTTGGATTCAAACAGAGAGCTGATCCAGTGGAACACATTGTAAAACACAGAATTCAGAAAAATTACAACTGAGAAAAAAACAGAAAATGTTAAAAAACTGTAACTGATTACTCTGATAAAATGGAATTTATTTTGGTGAAAAGTGCTATTGACTTGTTTAGGACTCCAAACTCAAAGTTTAGGACTTTGGACTTGACTTGGGACTTCCCTGTCGTTACTTGGGACTTGACTTGGGACTTGAGACCAAGGACTTGAGGTTTACTTGTGACTTAAGATAAGATTGACTTTATTAATCCCACAATGTTAAATTACATTTTACACTCTGTTGTTGAACATGCTACACACATAGGCTTAAATAGACACATGCACATACAGGATCTCCTATGGACATGCACTAATGAAGAGATGTCAGAGTCAGTGAAGTGAACTGGCCCTTTCCTTTCCAGATTTGGTCCGCAACAGGACTTGAACCACCAACCCTCCAGTTCCAACAGGAGTCCCCACAGACTGATTTACTGCCGCCCCCATTACAGAACAAATGACTTTATCCCACCTTAGTTTGTGTTGAACTAAAACATATCTGAATTAAGAGTCAAGCAGCATACTGAACAGACAAATCTGATACAACTCAGAAAAATTGGGCTAATGCCCGATTACCTGAATTGAATGTGATCCCTTTCGTCTGCAGCATAAAGGAGACAGAGGAGAAAAGCATCTGGCTTTTAGCTTAGTAATGGTTGCACCTTCGTTTCTCATCTCTTCTTCAACTGTCTCAGCAGGTTTTAACTCAAGTTGTCATTCCGTATTGTGACTGAGTACTATTTGAACTAAGCTAAGGAAATAGGAACCATTACTCTTCTCCTGTCAGCCGTTCTCAAACCACAACTCTTCCATTTCTGCCTATCAGTATATCAGGAACTCCTGCTGCAACAGTTTTTTCTTTTTTTGGGGCGATGGTAGTTGGAGACTAGAAGACATACCAGCAGGGGATGGTGGGACTTCATAGGCCCAGACTGTCACATGTGATGTCATGGGGATAGAGGGAACCCTGGGTTGATGCAAAAGAGGCAAGCCAGAAAACTTAAAAGAGCAATTTTTGCTTTAGCATGTGAGCCTAATTGATTTTTCATCTCTCTTGCCCTCCGAGGTTTCCTGTTGTTTTCATTGCTGCTGTCTTCTTTTTTAATGGGCTTTAGCCATGACTGTGACAGCTTCGAAACCTGGCACTTACATATTCTATTTCATCCTTCACATCTAATGGTTAGATTTCTGAAAGAGCCAACTGAATACCTCCTCTCTCTTGAAACCACCGTCTGTGTCTGGGAGGGGAGGATTGATTATTTTGCAGACCTGAAGTGCTCCCTGCTAGCTGACACTGATAACATGATATGGATAGCACAGGTTATGTTATCATCACTACTTCAATGTTAACACACTGAGCCCTGACCTGGCTACAGTGCAAAAATATTATTCATTTATTGCACTCTGCATATTGTTTTGTAACATTGTTTTGTTAATGAAAATCTTGTTTTTCCTGCACTAATGAGATATCTGATGGCTGCATGGTGTGAGCACTATGTTAAATGACCCAATGTCAATGACCCACTCTTCACTGCAGAGAAGAGCCTTAACCGTATTTACATGAACGAGCCAAGATTCTAAAACATATTCAAGTTTACTTCTTGCACCCAGGGAGATCGGTTTTTATGAGGCCTGATTTGCACGCAGATGTCCTTGCAAAGGCTCAGGCACAAAGCATAAAGGGACAGAAAGATTTGCATTAAAGAAATCCTCTCATAATCCTCTATAGTGCCTGGTGCTGTTGTGAAAATGGGGAAGTTAGTGCAGAATGGATAGGTGGGTGGTAATGAAATTGGAACTGATTCAAATAAGCTCTTAATTTCAGCCCGACATTTATGAAACATTAATGAAGAGGGGAGAAGATCTGTTGCTGAGAGAACTCCCTGGCTCGGAAAGAGCACATGAGGAGCACAGCACGAGTTTAAACATGCTGTATAATGAAGAAGGTGTTATGATAATTGTGTTACAGGTCCTTCTATATTACCTTGCTGACTTATGACACTGCCCAAAATGAAACCAATAGAAAGAAGAAAAAAAAGCAGCCTGACAAACAACTGTGGTTCTCTCTCAAGCTGACAGCAACATCAAATATTGATGCACACTTCTGCATCCATCGCAGGAATCTTTCTGAACCAAAAAGTGAATATCTGGTGCGTAGGCAGACAGCCCCCTCATGTATGGATATGAGGTAATTTTATTGAAGGCAGGAGGCTGCACATAGCCTCAGAGTGAGTAACTTAAGAGGATTCTGCTGTTTGAGGCAAACTTACCTCCACCTGTTAACACTGCAGGATATCAGCTGTAATGAGAATCCAGCGCACCATACTGTGGAATCACAATCCACTATCTTAAACACATTCATAGTATTGTAGCAGCTATTGCATATGCACTGTAGTCCTGCAGTGAGTTCAGCCGCAGGGAAATCCAATAAAATCCCCTCAGGGGGACATCAGATGTGCAGCAACAGTTTTAAAGAGCATGTACAAATAAAAGCATTAATATACATTGCAAGCATATGTATGGTATATTATGTGCTTGTATGTTCATCAGCAGTTATGTCATGTACAGATGTACAGAGGTATGCTCACATAAATATACTTAAGGGCTCAAACAGGCATAGAGTCCTGACAGTGAGTGAGATGCAGGCAGGAAAGCAGACGGAAGAAAATAATCTCACCCTCAGGCGATGGCGGAATGAAATACTCAGTCAGATGCAGTTGAAAGAAACCGAAGGAGATCTTATCGTGGAGTCTGCCTTGTTTGTCTCGTCTTCGCTTCAACTCTGGCCTCTGTAGACCTCTGTCTTCCACCTCCGACTAACATTCCTCCGATGGTGGAATTCCTCAAGATGCATAATGATAAGAAAAGGTGCTGACTGAGAAATCTGCGCAGGGCCTCTACAGGAGCGGGCCGCACACTGACTCACAAATATGCATCAGTATTAAAAAATAATGGAGTGATCATTTAGCCGCTGAGGTCCACTGTGAGTCATTCATGTGCACAGTGGACATTCAGTCTTACTGAAATACAACGAATAGGTGTGTAATATTCTCTGAATAGAAAATGGAATAGAATATTACTCCTGACTTACTTTAATTAAACTTAGATTTATTAATTTAGAAAGTGCATGAGTCCATTCAATATACTTTGAATATAATGAAAAATAAATATGAAAGGGATGTGATAGATAACGGCTGCTTATTGTTTAGTCGACATTATATTATATTTAAGTGTAGCTCACGTAGGTATTTTCTTTTTGCGACAGTTCATTTGGAGAAAGCCAGATTTAAAATTCATTCATTCTGAGAGAGTAAGGGAGAAAGTGGGGGAGGAAAGAGAGAAAGCGGGTGGAGAACCAGGGGACTCTCAGGAGTGACAAGATGTGACAGTGAGCACATTGGCTTGCAGGGCGGTTGCTACTTTACACTCCAATCACACAGTCCCCCCTGTCCCCCAAGACATTTTAATCTGATCCCTGGGCCCGAGAAGACGAGAAGCAAAACACTGAGAAGGAGTGCAGAGCGGCTAGATTTTACACAGCCAGCCTTTTCTCTTCCACTTATGTGGATGGCTCTTTAATTTTATCACTAAAATAGCTGCTCCTTTTCTCATTACATTTTGCTTCATATGCTGAGAGTGTGTAAATGCTGTTTGAATGAAGCCAGGCCTTTTAAAAAGTGTGTGTACATGTGTGTGTTCTCTCTAGCACACAGCACTACTTTTGATTGGATTAGTCAGAGAGAGAGAGAGACATCAACTCTTTCAGTCCGCCCCTCCTCCACTGGTAACAGGCTGCATTATCGATCCTGAACAGCTCCATTTCCTCTCTGTGTCCAAACTTATTAGAAGCTCTGCTATAACGCAGTCTGGCCTGATCTCCCTCCTTTCTTCCTCTTTTCTCTGAAATACCCATTTTCCTCTCATTTGTCTTTGTCTTTCTTCATCCTCCATCAAGATCTAACTCTATCTCTGTCTGGCCATTGTGTGTTTTTCAGCCCTTTGTCTATTTTCCACCAGTGATCTTGTTTTATCTTAATCTGCACTCATTTTTGCCCATTTTCTCCCTCTGGCTCGTCTATCCTCATCTCTTTACTTCATCTTCTCTGTCTTTAACTGCTGTGAGCTTCACTTCTGTCAAGCTCCGGCTTTGCTTTCTCTCTTGATGTAGCTCTCCAGTTAACAGTGAAATAAGACTGTGAATGATTTTGAGTTGTTTGTGGAATCAATCGCCATTAATTGTCTTTGGAGAAGAGTAACTTCTGACAGGATCTCAAGAGAAAAAAGAGAATACCATGGAGACAGTACGACTGCAGCTAAATTATGGTGACAGAATGGGCACGACTAATCATGATATGGAATTTATTCAAGATAATTTTCCCCTCTAAACACTTTCAACAACAACATTGAGTGTTGGATATATCTATACGTTTGGAAATGCTTTCATAGGTTTGTACTCTTTTCAGATTATTGTTGATGCTGGTGGATTAATCCTGTCTGCCTCCATGCATTTTGAAAATTCTACTTGGGAGCAACATAGATAAACTAAAGACGACAGAAGCAACCACTTCATTCCTCTGGTCTAACTTATATATGTCTTTGTGTCCCTGCAGGCTCTGTACCCGAGCCCGGAGGAGGGCTGGCAGATATACAGTTCGGCACAGGACGCAGATGGGAAGTGTATCTGTACCGTGGTCGCACCAGCCCAGAACATGTGTAACCGCGACCCACGCAGCAGGCAACTCCGCCAGCTCATGGAGAAGGTGACAGCTGTCAATAACACACTCACTCTTGAGACACGACTGAAGCCCACACAGACACACAAACAAACAGTCACGCTGCACCGCGCTCGTGTCTGGCACCGTCTGTCACATGTAGGCTGCTGAAGTGAACAGTCTTACTTCTTTTAGTACACAGTTAATCAGCCATGAAGATGAACTGAACTGATTGGAGTTTGGGGTGTTTACCAAAAGGTGTAGGACAATACCCTGCGCACTTATGTTTTCTGTAGCTGTTAATCATAAAAGACTGTAAACTAAAAAATAAAATAAAAACACAAAAACAGCTGGGTCGTAGCTGAGAAGTGTGATAGGGAGTAAAAATGCCGAACAACATGATGCCGTTTGATGACTGACAGTGAAAGCAGTGTAACGTATGAACTAGACAGTGGTAACATTCTCCCATAAACTGCTGTTTTTTGTTACTGAAATGTGCTTGGATTTAAATGCAGAATGTTGGGTGCACATTATTATTATTATTATTGATTATTATTACTTTCAAAGATGATTAAACCCATATTTAAAATCTGTTTAGCCATAGTAGTGTAAAATAAAGCAAAACCTCAGAAAACAGTCAAACTTCAGTTTAGTTGTAATGGCCTGCGGGTTTACGATGTAACTTGGTTTGCAGAGTGTGGCTAATGTTAGCAATACTAGCACCTCCAGCCTTTGGTCCACCATGAAGGTTAATAACACAAGCCTGTGCTTTGTTTAGTTATTCATTACTCCAGTTGATATGACAGTTTAAAGTGGCACAGCCTTGAGACATCTTTATCTCACTTTCTAGAAAAAATACTGCCGGATGTGCTGCTTCCATGTGGTGCTGTCTGTTCATTGTACTTGTTTATTTGTAGGCAGTAGAGCCAGAAGATAAGGCTCTAGCCAGTCTGTGGCTATATTCCTGGTAAAATAAAGGTAAAATAAAAAAGCCCCATCTAGCAGCGGGCAGCTACAAACAGCTTGGACATAATATATAATATTTACACTGCGGTCCAACAAGTGAAAATATTAGTAATGAATTTAACCAACGGATGATCTGGTGCCGACAAGCGAGGATGACAATGTTGAATTGCTTAGTTGACTAAATACAAACATCCCTACCCCCTCACCAGACACAAATAAAAACAAGAATAAAGCTTTTAATGACGTTATAAAGGAAGAGGGCTCTGTGGTAGAATATTTCCTGCCATTAGAAAAGGAAGATTGCACTGTCAATTTGCCCAGCACTAAAACATATCCATTAAGATCAATTTAGAGAGGCTTTGTCTTATGTTTGTTTTATGGTTTTGTATAGTTTATATATTTTGTAGATAACATATATAACATTTGATTAGAAACTTGTAAAATAAAGCCATCATAAGAATTGGAAACCTAGAGAAGAGAGAATTTGTAAAAACTGTAAATTGGATAAAATAGAAACAGAGGTCTACTTTCTCCTCGTCTTCTTGCTGTATGAAGCCGTCAGAAAGAACTTGCTGAACCAGGCTACAGCAGCATAGCCACACCAGAAACTAATGAGACTATGTTTAGCAGGAGTGCCAGCACTAATACACTCAGCTGCACAATTTGTACAGTTAATTAGTGCAATAAATGTTGTTTTTTTTCAGTAATAATATATATATATATAAATATATATATATAAAAATATAAAAAGTATATTACTGTTGATTGTTTTGATAACTTTGCTTCGGCAACAACGTTTGTTTACTGTTCCTGTCAATAAAGCATGTTGAACTTGAGCTATAAAATCAACCTAAAGTCAGACAATGCTTTGTTTTCATTGTCGCACAGTCAGTTCTGCACACACTCAATCAGTTCTGCTCGGACTTGAGCTCATTCTTTATGTCTGGAACTCGAATATATCTGTCAACTTTCTTTATGCGTGTAGATGTCATTAAAGTAATACAAGAATGTGTACACACACAAAACCTTCAAGTAAACAGAGAGAAAAGCAAGCATACACTGTTTCAGCAAGCAGACAATAAATCCATTTTTTATATACAAGGAGTAAAGTGTTATTGACCTCTGGCGCAGTGCAGCGTATGCAAATGGGATTTCCTGCTTGTATCCAATGCATGTACACTTGAACACATACACTCACATGTGTGAGACAGACAGGAGAGGACCTCTGATCACCAACGACCCCAAACTGCTTTTTGACTGACATTTGGAGATTTTTAGGCACTGTACCACTTGCCCTAAACTAAATGGTTAAAAAACAGAAATAATGTTTCAAAGCTTTCATTTGCTTGCTGAGCCATGGCAGCTTGCTCACAGCTGTATTTTGTGGACAGTCAAGACTAAAAACACAAGTTTATGAGTTTGGCTCCACAGAGCCGGTGAAAGCCTGTGAGCAGAGACACGGAAGAGACAGGAGGGGCTGACATTGATGTGGTCTAGTGAGGGAGAGGTGGTGGTAAATTGAGATGCTGAATAGGTTCTGAGGTCCTGGCAGATCAATGAGACACCTGAATTCACATATTGCATTCATTCTCATTGAAGTTCGCCTTTTCCCCTGACAGTCTCTGTCTGCTGCTCTTTCAAGCACACATTCATGCAGACAAAACCCACACTCGTACACTCTTAAAAGGAGAGGTATAATAGAGCAGGCATATTCTGGAAGCTTTTAAGAGACAGTGTATATGTTCACAGGGATACAGTATATGCAGAAATGTAAATATGTACTGAGCGCTGTGTAAGAACCGTTATATACAGTATGTATGTGTGTGCATTCTTTTGTAAGCTCAGGCAGTGTATTGGTAAAGGACAAAAACAGCAGGGAAATAAACTTGCCCATATTTTCCTGAAGCACAACATTTGGTCTGTTCCTTGTGAAATATAGCAAAGCTCATATCTCTCTACACAACTACCTCATAGACCTGCAATCACATTATAATTATCACTCAGCCGTTACTATGAACGATGGTCTTTATTTTTAACTCTCAACTCATTACTCTTTATCTCCAAAGATGAAGATAACTTCATCCAAATAAACAAACTGAATCTCAAAAGCACTAAAGAAACTAGATGAGAATAAAAAGGATTCTTATTGGTCTGCCGAAGGATGTCACCAGGAGCTCATTATTTTTCTTTTCACCAACAACATTTTTTTTTATCCATCTGCACTGTAGGACGATGATGTTAACTGTGACTGTGTTGAAGACATAACCATTCAGAGAAATTAGTATTTTCCTCAGTGAAGAAAATCAATTAAAGCTACCAGAGATGAGCCTTTAAAAACAGATTTATTTGTAAGGGAGTAAATCCCTAAATACCACACTCTTTTGATGTTTATAAAGGTACTTGTTGGTGTCCAATGTATTTCAAGTGAGATGTAGATTTCAGCTCTTAGAATTAGGGTTTCAAATAGTGCCGGTATTATTGTTTATCCTCTTTACATGCACACTGCTCTTAATACACCAGCGATCAGAGCTCAGTGCTCATATCAAAAACAGTCCACAGCTCAGCCTAATGAGGACACCTGGGGTCAGTGCTGTTTTGGCCTCAAACAAGTTGAAAGACTGTGTTTGTGTGTGCAATAAGACATCTTCATTTAAACCCAGAGCATGCGGGATTGAGTATTATAAGCAGACAAGAGCTACAAGGGCTCTCCACTGACAGAGCAAGCCAAGGTTACACTAACAATGTCTAAAGTGCCCTCTGTTAAAGAATGCCATGTAGCATCGAGCTAAAGTCTCTATTCAGATTTCTGCAAAGTTAAGCAATACGGCGTCGAAAGCAGAGCTCACCTTGAATGACGGGGGTGTGAGGACGCTGTCGACATAGAGTTTGAACACCTCGTCCCCTCTGACCTCTCCGTCTGAGTGTCTGGTTTGAGATGGGATAAACTGAGATAGGAGGGCAGAGTCTGCGCTGAAACACACAAACACACTTGAGTATTTGGCACAAAGTGAGTCATTACAGTGGACATGAGGCAGACACACCTGTGAGTGATTGGATTCTTGGAAGTGTGAGGGATGGGAGCATCTGATGGGGCCAGAGGACACTATGAAATGCCTGTTTTTTTTTTTTTTGGAAGATTACTTATCATGGTTCAGAGAATACAGAAAGACCAGGCTGACATAAAAGCCTATAGCAGGAGGGGGAGGGGCGGGGGGGGGGTGTATGTGTTTCGACTTCAGGCAGCTGGATGAGTTCACGAAAACACCTTCTTTCAACTATCCCATCTGCACTACTGTCAAATAGGTTTTAATTGGTGAAGAAAACATTGTCTGACCAGAAAATCCCTGGCCAGTTCATGAAGCGTGTGGGAGAAGACGTTGGGTGTAGCAAACAGTAGGTTTGGACACAGAGTGAATTGAGTGGGCTGTCAAAGAGTAGGCAAGCAAGGCATTTGGTACAAAACAGACTTGATGCCAAAGCGTGACCTATGAGAGTTCAGACTGTTTTTGTTTTGTTAGGAGACATTTCAATAAATATCCATGTGGAGTTTAAGAGGCGCATGTCTGTGTGGGCGGGGCTTGTATTTGTGTGGGTTGTTGGACATATGTACACGTGAGGCTCCTGTATGCCCCAGCAGCTGTGCAACATTTGTCAATGTTCAGATCAGTTCTGGCCAGTTCAGGGCAATGTGAGGGAGATGAGGGGGCATACGAAAGAGTAGGCTGGTTATGCAGCTAGAGAGTGGGCTGTCAAAGAGTGAGCAAGCAGAGTACCTAGTGAAATTAAACATAGTGCAGACCCGAGTCCTCGGAGAACTGAGATTCAATAAACACCTACTTGACAACATGTTTGCTACTCCATGGGAATATGTGCCGCTTGCTTTATTGTTTAAATGTTCCAGTTACTAGTGTGCAGTTTCATTTCGCCTACCACCCTTCTGTTTATAGGATATTTATATCATCACCTGACTCCTGTTGACTTTTATCACATAATTTTTAGATATTATGTTTTTTTATGTAACATCCTGAGCAATTCGGAGCTGCCCTTTGAAGCTCATCACCTCCTCTTCTCTTTTGTTCTTGCTTCTTATTTTTCTGCTTTCGCTTGTCTGTTTGTGTTTATCATAAAAACTTCCATTAATAGCTTGGGCTTTTTATTTACCTTAATCCATGAAATGACCCTCCCTTCATTTGGTACAGGCCTCAATACTAGACAGGCCTTTATTTTTTAAACAAAATTTGTGCACTACAATGATGGGAAGGATTTAACCATGTACTGAAATAGGAAATTGATGAATAGATTAAATAAAAAATCCCTAATTGTAAGACAGAAAATTTCCAACCAGCTGCACTGTGGGGGGGGGAGAGATAGAGAAAGAGAGAGAGACCCCCTGTTAATATAATCACTAAAGAGTGCTGCGCTGACCTATGGAGCAGTGTAAACATACAAGAAAGTACTTTGTTGTTCAAAGCAGATATTATAGCGTTCAAATTTCAGATGACCGATGGAAAAAACATTTGTTTTCATAATTTCAACACCTATCGCCTGCTGATCTTTAATTTTCTTTCTCACAACAGTCAAACAAAAGCACTATTCTGTCTTTTCTGGACAGATTTGAAGGTTTATTTCATTTATTTATTTTGACAGTAACAGTGTACAGCCAATTAGCTGTACCAGTTAGCTATGAGCTAATATGCATCTGTATTCTCTCTGTCTTTCTGCTTTTTCTCCCTACCTTTGGTCAGCAAATTATTTTATCACTGAATGCATAGGAGCCTTTAATTGAGAACTGTCTAATCAGTAACAACAGCAGGCGAGTATAAGGGCCTGGGCCTTAATTTAAGATGGGTTTTAATTTGAAGTTTTACGTTATTTTTAATATAATGTCATGTTTTTATGCTTTGCTCTACACTGAACAAAAAGGTTTCGATTGTCTTTAAGCCGTCAAGTTTTGCCTTAGTAGAACATATTCTGTTGTTTGTTTTTATTGTCACACTTATACTTCTCTTCCGACTGGATTTAAAGAATAAAACTTCAATGTTGACATGACAGGGCTTAAACTGTGCTCATTAGTCTACAACACAAGCAAGTTTAGTTTGATTTGCAAGCTGAAATGTAAAAGTCTATTTCTTTAGGATGAACACACAATTATGCAATAATTTTGTGTGTGTGTGTGTGTGTGTGTGTGTGTGTGTGTCTCTGCATGTGTGATTCTATGTGTGTGTATTAGGTTCAGAACATTAGCCAGTCTATGGAGGTGCTGGACCTGAGGACGTACAGAGATCTACAGTATGTGAGGAACACAGAGAGCCTAATGAAAGTGGTGGATGGAAAGCTGAAGGTGGCCTCGGAAAATCCCCGCAGTCTCAATCCAAAGGGCTTTCAGGTAATTGGCTGTCTGTCACCGCTTGTGCACTGGTGAGTGTGTTTATGATTGGGGAGTGAATTCAGACACCATTAGATGTGGCCCTGCTCTCTGTGAGCACACTGAGTGCATCACAACCTCTTTTGCACTTCACAGACAGTAACATTTTGTGTGACTTGTGAAAGACTGCGTCAGCCGAGGCGCTAACACAATTCCAAAACTATCTCTTTGTCATGCGCCAAAACATTTTTGCTTACTCACATGCACCTGAATCATTTAAAGTCCTGGTCCTACAAATGGACTGTTAATTTTTCTGTCGTCCTCTTTTTACACCCTTCCCTCACTCTCCTCATTTAAAGTTACACTTAACATTCTGGTGACTGCTCTTAGATAGCAGGCACATATATTCACATTTATCTCTTCCTTATCTCTACAAGCTGAAGCTCAGCTGCCATTATCAGTAGGCCTTTTTGTCTTCCTGTCAGTGAGCTGTCTGGCCCAGGCTTTCTCCACATTCCTCACACTCTTACTGATATTAGATGGGCCATAAATTAGTTTGATTAAAAAGACACCTTGATAAATGCGCTTAACCACTAGGAAACTGCCTCAGCAAGGGGACAAGTTTGAATAGCTGTGTTTTACTTTCAGTGCATTTTATGAAAGAAACTCCAAATGAAGTAATGACAATGTTTTTCAAATTTAGCTTATTCATCAGAAGAACCGCAGATCACTAAATTCTGCAGAATAGTAAGCATTTATTCCAAGATTTGTGTAAATACATATTTGCAATCCAATAAAGAGAAAAAAAGGCACTTTAGAGAAGCAGGATTGACCAGAGCAGGTTGGCTGATGAATGCTTGCAGCTCAAAGTTGCCAATGGCAAAGCGTGGGAGATTAACGAGAGCGAATTTTCGCAGCTTGAAAAGGGGAAAATGAGATTTATGATGTGGCGCCACAGGGCTGAGAGCTGCTCCATCACCAGATTTACGATAAACCTTAACAAGAAGGAAACAGCCCCTCCTGTGGCGGCTACACTTTATTGATACACCTTTTTTCTCTTTTCTACCTTCCGAGCAGGCAGCCTGGCTCTCCTGCTGCTCCCTGCACTCCAATCTAAGGACACATTGTTCTTTTCCACTTGTAAACAAAAAATCTATCACAGACCAAGTTTACACCCAGCAGTATGCTCCTTGCTGTGGTTTAAATAAAACAACTCAAACCAGCTTAGTCGAGAAGCAGACCTGTATTTGATCAAACTTCAAAGAATGTGCATTTCCAATTCATACAGAGGAGTGTTTATTGAAATACATGGCTCTTTACAGTTCATGCAAACAAGCCTACACAACTGAAACAAGTGCACAGCAGCTTGCTCAATAAAGAAGATTGGAACTGAGATTTGTTTTTTATTGTTGAATATGTATCTTGAGATGGAAATGAAGAGTATAATTATTTAAAATAAAGCCAAAGAGAAACCCAGTTTCACTGCTGATAACAATTTAAAAAGACTCAGTAAAGAATGATTCTGCACAGTGCATTTAATGTCATGATAATTCTGTGCACTAAGATGTCAATACCAAGCTCCACTATGGGTTCTTGATTGAGAGATTGTCGGCTAACCAGAGGCTACAACTAAAGATTGAAGTGCTAGCTCCTCTGCACACAACCCCTGTACTGACTGGTACCTGATATATTCTCCCAGGGTTTAATCCTACCCACCTCCTTTGCTATTCCATGTCTTCCTCTGCAATTACTTTTTTTTAGGAGTTAAAAGATAAGGTGACTCAGCTGCTCCCCCTGCTGCCAGTGCTGGAACAATATAAGGCAGATGCTAAGATGATCCTTCGTCTTCGGGAGGAGGTGAGGAATCTGTCCTTGGTGCTGATGGCCATCCAAGAAGAGATGGGGGCCTACGACTATGAGGAGCTACGCCAGAGAGTCCTGCTTCTGGAGACCAGACTCCACTCCTGCATGCAGAAACTAGGTATAAAATATATGCAAATGAGGGGGTGGGTGGTCTTTAAATGTTTAATTGGAAATCCATTAACCAATATGATTGTAGAGAAAGGAATCGGTAAGACAACAGCAGTGTAGAGAGAAATCGATAGTCAAAAGTATGTTGTTAAATGTCAACACTTGCACTCTGCTTAGCTCAAAATGTTGCATTAATTAAAAGAAACAGCTTAAAAACATGAATGAATAATTGATTGTTCTCGTGCAATGAGTTAGCTTTAGTGATGATTTGACAAAATCTCATTCATATCAACTGATGAATTAATGGAAAAGGACCGTCGTTGTTTCTATGCCTTTAGCTCATTAATGCTTTGTTATTGTGTTTATATGACTTTAAAGTTACATAATGCAAGTTACTTCATGCAGAGAAAAAGTAATTACAAACACTCATTGATCAATTACATATTTATGGCCAGGTAGACGTTATGAATTTGTAAAAGCTTGACAAAAACAGACAAAAATATTCAATAGGAGGCCTGCTTTAGTGGAAATCTAAACAAAGAAGCAAAGATTTTTCTTTAATGTGTTTGGAGAATCAATCTATGTTTTTTTCTTAACTAATACTTTATTTAAAGAGCCCATATTATGCCCTTTTTAGGATTCATATATTTAATCTATGTACCTACTAAAGTATGTTCACAATAACTAAAGTTATAAAAAAGTGTCTGTTTTCATGAACTGCCGCTCCATGCACCCGCTCGCTTCTGACTCTCTCTCTAAGGCTCTGAAGTGACCACGTTCAGAGTCCCCACGTGTGCCAAGTCTGATCCGATTGGTCGGCCTGTCGGCTCTGCCGTGATTGGTCAGTTGCTCAGCACGATTCTCTGAAATGTCTCGCTCCTTTTACCATATTGGGAATGCAGCCACTTTGGCTCCGAGGGGAGCATAAACATTAGCACTACTGTGCTACCGCAGGCTACGGCATATCGTGGGCGTGCTACAGAAGTTAATGAGCCTGCAACATGAGCTGCTGGGCTTGCCACAATGAGCCAATGGGCTTAGATCAGTGATCTCACACTGACAATGATGTCGGACTGGCAAAAAATTTATCGAGGGGGGCTAGAACCGAGCGTTACATGCAGCTAATGCTACAGCTAACAGGAGGACGTAGGAGAAGCTGCGTTTACGCGGACTTTGAATTTTTGCGCATAGATGTGCCTAAACATGCACAGGACACTTGGAAAACACACTGAAGAGCATATAAAACCAGAAAAAACATAATATGACCCCTTAAAATTCCAGAGGGGAAATATGGGTTTACACTCTGTTATTAAGAGATATCGCACAAATAGGAAGGAAATACAAACATGCACAAACAGGATCTATAGACATGCATATATGAAGAGATGTCAGAGTGTCTGACCTCAGCAGTGCTCAGGAAGTTAACTTATACCTCTCCAGTAAGCAGTAAATAGTTTGGTCAGTATCGGGACCTGAGCAAGCAGCCCTCCGGTTCCCAACCCAAGTCCCTACAGACTGAGCTACTGCCACCCAATAAACCTTGTTCAATCTTCAGTATGCTAAAAAATGGAAGAAGAGAACCCGAAAAACTGCAGAAAGGAGCACTTTTCGGCTCTCTGTAAAGACATAAAATTTGGGTTGTGTAATCTTTAAAAACAAACTTTGTGTTTCAGCATCAAACATTCATAAGGAATTTAAACAGATGTTAATTTAAAGAAGTTGATAAATTGATCATTCAACATGCTTGTCTTCAAAAAGGGGAATATATAAACCATTTGGAAATCATTTAAAGTACTTAAAATGAACATTTCAAACATCCCAGTATTTTTAAAATGTGTTTTGTTACTGTAAATTGTAATTCAAAGAACAATGTGAATGCCTTTTAGCATGCTGCTCAGAATGATACCCTCTGCACTGTTTCTCACAGAATGATGCTATACCTGGGCCCTGACTGCTCTAACCTCTTCCTCTTCTTCGACCTACAGGTTGTGGGAAACTAACTGGTGTTAGTAATCCAATCACAGTGCGTGCATCAGGGTCCAGGTTTGGCTCCTGGATGACAGATACCATGATCCCCAGCTCAGACAACAGAGTAAGTCCCCTCTGGTTCTACTACCTATGTTTTTAATTCAACTAACTTAGAGGATAAAGAAGAACCTAAATCCCTGTCAAGACCAAGTCCAAACTCAGTTAGGTGTTAAATGTAGAAAATATCCCTAACAGTAGTGCTGTCATGATACTTTAGTGACTAATTGATTGTTTTCCCTGAGAAGGACGTCCCGTGCACTCTTAAGGAGGAAAGAGAGAGAGAGATGGAGAGAGAGCGACATGGACACAAAGCGTCATTGATTGATAGCATCCCTCTCCTCGTCTTCTTCTGTCACTGCGACTCCAGCTGATTAATCACTTCATCATCAGTGGAGAAATGAATGAGTTGTTTGTGCTAAAGTTTTCTAAATCACCAGGGTAATTACTAGGAGTGTGTTGAGATGTTCTGGACCCAGATGACATAGTAATGGCTTCAGCTGATTAGAAATGGTGCGTGGTTTCATATTGGCAGATACACTGTGAGAAAGGGGGAGAAAGACATCGGAGGAAAAAAAATGAAAAGGAGCTGTGCCGCCTGGTTGCTTGAAGAAGTGGTAGAGATGGATAAGTGGAACCGTGGTTTCTTATCCATCCGTAGGGAAGAATGGAAGCTGATGAAACTATAAAGGAAAGAAGACGTCGGCCTTTTTCATCCGCACGCTGTATCATAACAGGCTTAATAGATATTGCTACCAGAAAAGGTCAATTAATGTGATTGAACGCTCTGATCTTTGTCCTTGATCACCTGACTATAGCTGATATAACATGAGACCCTTTATACCAATCATAAGCAATATATCAAAATCCCCACCAATGATGATAGTCATATTTGGGAAACATCATTGTCACTGAGAGGCCTAACAGAAAAAAAGAGGATTTGGCCTGGCTCAGCTCATGTTCCTTGCTTCCCTCCAGGGAGTCATTTAGCTAGCATATGAGAAACAATGCCTAATGCTTCATAATCTTCCCTTCTCCATAATTCAGTTGCTGCACCTCACCACCCCCCAAACTCCTCCCTTACCCTTCCTCTACCCCCAATGGGCTTGTTATTGAAGTAAAGTGCTTAGCTTACACCATGGACGAAGGCGAGAGCCAGAAGAGAGAGAGATGGCGGTGAAAAATGACCGGTGGTGGACCAGTGAACTGAGAGCTACAACTTAGCAAAGCTCTTCTTGACATGTTAAGGAAAAAATAAATACCTAAGCCAACGGCAGTTTAATTGAATCAATTAAAAGCTGAACTGTGCTTCGATGGGAGCAGTGAGGGAATGAGATGGGGGATGCAGCCAGAGAGGGGCCATGATGGTGGAGAGATCCGCTGAGAGTGCTTGAGGAAAAAGATAGAGCTGCTAAATGGATTGATTTTCTGTAAATGTGGACTGGAAAGGGCAGAGAGCACAAGCAGTGGCTGACTGCAAGGAGCAAGCAACGTCTTCATTCCCACATGACGGAGAGATCGATTGTGCCGCACACACAGAGTCAAGTATGCATAAATGCAGGAAGGCATACATTCACCCTCAACACTTTGAGGTTCTACACGTATACACAATACCCTTTCTTTGCTCAGGGCATAGCCACAGGCTGTAATAAAACATGGCTTTAAGTGCTCTTGCAGAGAGGCGAGTCAGGTGTAGGGAAGAAATGTTCTCCTCTAACCTCTACATCTTCTCATTTTGTCTTTATTTAAATATCTCATTTTCTTAATTAGTCTGGTCTTCCCAATTGGAATTAATTTTTCTTCTCTTAACAGGTTTGGTCCATGGATGGTTACTTCAAGGGACGCCGTGTCCTGGAATATCGCACAATGAATGATTTCATGAAGGGCCAGAACTTTGTGCAGCACTTGCTGCCTCACCCCTGGGCAGGCACTGGCCATGTGGTCTACAACGGCTCCCTGTACTACAACAAGTACCAGAGCAACATCATCATTAAGTACCACTTCCGTTCTCGAAGTGTGCTGGTGCAGCGCAACCTGAATGGGGCCGGCTATAATAACACCTTTCCCTACTCTTGGGGCGGATCCTCAGACATCGACCTCATGGCAGATGAGAATGGCCTGTGGGCCGTTTACACCACCATCCCTAATGCTGGGAATATAGTCATCAGCCGCCTGGAGCCTCAGAATCTGGAGGTGTTGCAGACTTGGGACACAGGATTTCCCAAGCGGAGTGCTGGAGAGTCATTCATGATCTGTGGCACACTTTACGTCACCAACTCCCACCTGGCTGGTGCCAAAATCTACTTTGCCTACTACACTAACACATCGAGCTATGAGTACACAGACATCCCTTTCCACAATCAATACTCTCACATCTCCATGATGGACTACAATCCCAGGGAGAGGGTCCTGTACACATGGAACAACGGACACCAGGTGCTCTACAATGTCACACTGTTCCAGGTTATTAAGACTTCTGGGGACTGAGAGCTTCAGTGGGACCCACTCAAATAATGCTGTGATCATTGTACTGGGAGGGGCAAATGAGATAGGTGGAGGTGGGTAAAGACTGTGGGAGTTGTGCGTTGGGGGCTTTGTTTTACGGGCAAAGGCTTGGATTTTTTAAAAAGAATTTCAATCTTCATTGAGTGCTATTATTCACATTCTCAAAAAAACACTCCAACAGCAACGTCGGTAAAGAAACAAGGACTGAACGCTTCTCTTTTTTTCTTTCTGTGATGAGTAAGCATGGTTCTTTTTATTTGTGATGAGAAATAAATATCAATCTTTACCATTTATGACTTTGGATTTCATTATCCCATCTATATCACAGAGAACATTGTTGTGTTTCAAAGGGGAAGGACAACAAGACAGAAACTCTGTGTTGTAAAAAAGCATTGGCTTTAAACTTGGATGTGTGTAATCCCAAGGTCAGCACTGCTTACAGTCTAAGAAAAAGACAAGTGTAACATTTCCTTATTCCTTGTTCAATGAAAACTAGCAGAAAAATAAAGAAGATATGGTCAATAGTAAAATTTGAAAATAATGAAAAACCTGAAATAACTAAGTATTGCAGATACCATGTGGTCATTAATAACAGGGTGGAATGGTAAAAGAATGAAGGGACTATGTGAATACAGACAATTCAAATCCCAAGGGCTTCATTAACCCATACCTTTGAAACTACTTCATCTAATTCTTTAAATCTAAAAAAGCCAGGGGAATATGCTACTGTGCAATAAAAGAGCTTCCTTCCTTATACTCAGAGATTGTTAAATTTAACTGCCTTTTATTATTTCACAAGGTGAATTGAAAGTGAAAGCAAAACATTTGGTAAAATGAACAGGTGGTGGTGCGAAGGGTCGAGAAGCACAAAAGGAAAGGGGCCAGGATAAATGTAAAAGGAATTCTAACAGTATTTATGTTAGAATAAAGAAATGAGGCTTCACAGTTAAGTGTTGCTTGAAAAGCTCCAATCTGCTTTCATCTCGTTAGTTGCACAACGCTCCACTCAGGGAATCTTCACAAGGAAACATTCAAACACAAGTTGAACAATAGAATAATGCTCTTATGGAAGTCTGGAATTGCAAACCTTTTATTTCTGTCTTTTTTATTAACTATTGAAAGTAATTCTGGAGCTACATAGTCGTTCTCTGCTGTACAGAGGGCATGTCTTTAGAAAGATGCCCACTGTGCTGCCTATTTATTCCTTTCATTCACAATGCACGTGAAGCTGCAGCCATTCTTTGCAAGAAAAAAAAAAGAAAACCGTGGTGGAAACAGAAGAAACGGAATAGAAAAGGAGGATCCACTTTCCTTTTCCTGCGTTACCATGGTGATCCTTTTTATCCTGGATGACCTTTCTATCAATAAAGTGCTGTGCTGAAGAGAACCCTGATGAGACACAGTAGTGCCTGACATTTCAAGCGCAATACTGTACACAACAATACAGAGCATCTAAGAGTGTGAGCGAGAGTTCAGGATAAACTGCACTGCAGATGGAAAACAAATAACTTGGAGAAACTGTTGCACAAAAAATAAGGATGTTGATGTAATCTGTTACCAAAGAAATGGATGTATTTCCATCATGGGCTTTAAAGGATTGTAATCAGTAAACTGCAGTTAGACCTAAAAATATTGGTTTTACCTGAGAGTAGAAACCAATCAAGATCCACCACATTATCCTTCTGCTCGTTATCAAAATGTAAAAAAGAAAAAAGAGCTGTTAAGCTAAGCTTTTGCATTTCCTATCTGTGCATGGAAGGAAAAAAAGGGCAGGTTGGCTATTGGAAAAAATTCAACAACAAAAAAATTGTTGGCTTTCATCTTTCAATAAAACCTTGAGATGACAACCCAACTCTTCAATCTGTGAGAAGGGACCTTCTTTGATCATAGATATCGCACCATTTATGCGCAGCCATTATTTCATGCAAACTGAATATTAAAGGAAGCAGACGTTCAGCTGCAGCTATCTGAGAAATGTTCTAAGAACATATATACATTCATGAATAAAAGTTATTTAAGGCTAAATCAACTAAATCTGCTCCAAAAAGAAAAAACGGCCTTTCATACCATTGAATGTGTTGCAGTCAAAACACATTTAGTTAGAACAAAATAAAAAATGTTTTGCCGGTCTTTACACCTTAAATAAGTCTGTCTTGCAATACATATGTTACTGAGAGAAAAAAAGAAAGACGATGATGTAACCAAGAACAACTGAAAAAAAAAGGATTGTTTTATTTCTTTATCAATTACTGTAACTGTTGATGCCAGCAGGGTAACCATTGCCTGCAGCACTGGAGAGACAAACATTAGCTCCGTAAGTGCCACTGAGCACGCTGTTGTGCCAACTAATGCTCAAGGCCAAGGGCTAGTAAGTGTCGGGATAATAACAATAAAGATTGGAGGCATGACGAACAGCATTACATCATCCTCGGTGGCCCTCGTGTTAGAATTGCATCAACTTATCTGTGTCAGGAGGGATGTTCTCTAGTTAAAGCCTTCTAGTCAGTACACAACCCTTGGTGTGTCTTCTTTGCTCAAGATCATCTCCAGAGGGAACATGTGAATTGAAAATGTTGAATCACTACGCTGGTTCACACAGTGAGTAAATCTCCACAGACCTAGATTCTCACATAGTGGAGCTTTATCTGTAAAACTGTCCGGTACAGATTTCAGCCTTTTGTTTGAATCTGAGCTCCTGCTGGGTGTGTCTCCGTCAGCTGTTTCCAGCCAGCTCAACAGGGTTACCTGACTGTATCTAAATGAAGTTAGTTTCCAAGGAAGACCTCTTATGGCTGTATGAATCAAAGACCATAAACATGCTTATTTATAATGATGTAATTGTATACAGTATATATGACAGCATTTGGCTATTGGGGCACTTTCAGAAGTTGGTTTAGAACCTATTTGGTATGAGTCGGTGGTATCCTCCCTGTCAGGGGAGTGGATGAATAAAAGCTGTGGTGAAAAGCTCAATACGATTTATGACTTCAAGTGCAAAAAATAGTTTCTAATAGCGATGATTAGTTATTGCTTTTGTGCCAACTAGCACCTGATTTATGTTCAAATCCACTGAGACAAAACTGAACTGGAGAAAGAGAGGAAGAAAGTCTCGACCTATAATCTGCTTTAAATTGCAAGGACTCACATCTAAAAAAAAAATTTTTTAAAAAGAGCGAGGAGACTCATGACAAGTGCCTGATGGTTTGGCAGACATTGAGAAACTGATTAATGGTGCTGAACTGTACAAACAATAAAAGGTTTGAAAAAGGCCATTAATAGACTTTTACACAAAAACACACTCAAGAGCTCTGAGTTGTACAGAAATATAAACACACACAAAGTAACCTAACAACAAGGTAAACTGCAAGAGAACGGAAGCAGACATTTACTGCCTTTGATTAAAAAAAAGGAATATATAATGCATGAAATGAATTAGGCCTCAAGGGGCAATTGTAGAAATTGTTATCAAAAACAAACACAACGCTGAAAAGCAAATCACTGCCGAGTGCAATTAAAAAGTCTGACCACGCGAGTCCACGTTCTGGTTGCCAAGACATCACTAATCTGCTTTACTCAGTTCTCTGCAGTTGCAGAGGAAAGTAAAGACGCAATAAATAACTGTTGTTGGCAAACTGTGAAACAGCATGGTGTAATATGTGAGATAGCTGTGTATTACAAAGGCTAAAGCAGCAGTTAAAGTAAAGGTTCAGTCCTACACACTCAGTCCTTTGTCAAACACAGAAGAAACTGCTACTAGTTTAGCCGAAAGACCCCCCCCCCCAGTGATTTGTTCATCGCTTAACGGTGACTTTACCAGAACTTTTCCAAAGTTTTGACTCCCTCAAGAAACTGAAAACTAAAAGACAAACTTTAAAATTAAAGTTGGCCTGAATAATAAGTATTCAACACAGAATTTGTATTTAGAGGGCGTATTAACCCACAGAAATCTCTCAGCCTGAGCAGCCTCCATTAATGCAGAGATCTGAAAGGAACAATGGACCACAGAGCAGCACACAAGGCATGATTTACCTAAAGTGGCTATAAGCATGCATTCTCACATGCACTTGAACTGATGGAGTGCAGATATGGCAGCAAAGGAAGCGGTTTGATAGAGTGCACGGGGTGAGCCTCACAGGCAGGAACAGAGATGAAGACAGGATTAAGAAGCAAACCCAGTTCTTACTTTAATCACACAGCCTTCTCTGGATGAAGTTTTTTTTTTTATGCAAATACATTTGTGTGTGTGTGTGTGTGTGTGAAGCTGGTATTCAGATCTCTGCTTTGGTTAAACTGAACATGCACAGTACTTCTATTTCTTGTCCCTTCAATCTCCATCCACAGCAAAAAGGTCCCACTCTTGTTTTATGTGTCGGCAGATGCAAAGTTTCCTTGGTGCTACCATTCTTCATCGACTTCCTCATTAATTGTAACCTCAGCCACCCTAGGGACAACAACTCCTCTCTTCCAGATTCACAATAAAAAACTTTTTCTCAAAACCCTGCTCCTTGAGACGGCACAGAATCAGCCTGAACAGAGCTTTGAACGTTTGCCTTTTCATCATTAAACAAAACTTGCACTCAGTTTCCTTCTACATTCTGTATTCATCTTTGAACTCAGAAAGGATTGCGCCGGTGAGTGGAGAAGGAATATCAGGGAAGGGACAGAGGAGGAAGTTTTAACTCTTACTCATTCATTTGCACTTTAATTGTGTTTTGAGCTCTCATTGATTGGGCATGCTCATCTCTAATCTCATTAGGTATTGTTTTGTGAAGGATAGTAAAGTAGAATCATTCTGGGCTTCAACCACAAGTGATTCCATTTTATAACCCTGATGTCCTGGCATGGCTGAGGCTGTAAAGATTTACCATGAAGCATCGAACTGCAGGCTGGATCCCTCCCCTCTTTTTGTAATTACAGAAAGATGCTGCCGGAGAACAGAGATGCTGCTTTAACTCGGAGGTGCTGTTAGAGAGGAGGGGTCG